TAGTTGTCACAACTACAACATGATTGTACGATGTGATTATGTACACGTGTAGATCTACATGTCCTGTACGTGTACATGTGCGTGGGTTAGGGTTACTCAAATCAGTAGGATCGCCCATACATGTATCTGTGTGGACCCTGGCCTGGGTCTGGTTCCCTAACCTTGACCCACCAGTAACAGTAAGGTAACTACATCATGTACCTGGAATGAACCAACCCACGGCCAAGCGGAAGCGTGAATCCCGTGATGATTGTGACGAATCCGGGCCGGCGCCTGCATGCGCGTGCACGCAACCACCATCCACGGCCACGCTGCACGACATAGTATGGTCGTACATAATATGTAGCCACCTTGAAGGATCGATGGTAGTCTAGTCGATCGTGCTCATGGCAGACGTGTACCATGGTGTACTCACGTACCACCGGACAACCAACGGAGTCTTGATCGACGATCATCGATGCATCACGCGTGCAGAAAATTAATGGCTACAGCTTGTATTACATGACTGTACTGTTGTAGACTATAATAATACTAGTCTGTACTCTGTACTGTAGATCATGATTGTGTAGACAGCATAGCATGATTGTCAGTCGTACACCTCAATGCATGTCATAATTATTTTTATGCGTGTTCGAGCACGATATCGCATTATCGGTGATGCATCCGTGGTATCAGTCAGCTGTTGACATAACATTCAACATGTCCGATCGAGTGCTAGTGCCAAGTAGTACACAGTGCAGTGGCGATCTTGATCTTCGCCACTTCGGGGCCGGGAACGAATCAATGCGAGAATGTTTTTATTTTTCTCCTTTCACCTGAAGTAGTCGCGTACATTGACAGTCAGTGATGTACCACCTTCCTACTGTGATAATAGTTATGTGTTGTGTAGTCCGGGGAAAGAAGCTTTTTGAATCAGTCAGAGAGAAGTAAGGAGGATTGGTACAGAGCCGTGATCCTTTGCACAGCTGGAGATTCTGTACGCTGCGAGGTGGATTCAGGGATTTTCCAGGGCTGTCTCGATTCCTGCTTCGCTACCTGGGTCGATTTGAAAACGTGAGTGCGAAATCTTTGCCAAGCAAATTTCCTTGCCTGGTGTTGTCTTGCCTCTTGGTGTAGCGAGAATGCGAAACACTGCTGCCTGGCTAGCTCATTGCAGGGTGCTATTCTGGGTTCGCACTGGCGGTCCTAGACGAACGAGCCGCTAACGCTAGCGCTGAGAGTGACCTTGGCTTGATCATGCAGCCTGTGCGGATTGTGCTAACCACCGGATGTACTGACACTTGGGCGCAGATCACAGTTCACACTCTACAACTAGTACAAGACTGCAATCGACATAGTCATAGACGTGTAGTACTAGTAGTACTACTAGTGTTGCTGTATGCACGACTGTAGTTTAGGGACAGAGTCTGTTCAAGGCTGCACAAATCTAGCCTTTTGCCTGTAGAGTAGTGCTTCGTGTTCAATATCCCTCTCCCTCGGCCTCTCTCCGCAAGTTGCACGCGTCGTCTTCGCGACAGCCTGTTTCCTCGCTGCATTCCTTTTGCTCATCGCCTTGCATAATAGAGGCTATTATTAGAGCAGTGTGTGCCAACATCAATCCATCAACGCGTAAAGGGTGAAGTTGGCAGGGTGTCCTGTGGTTCGTCTTGTGTTTCATTCGTATCCAGCTACATTGGCAGTGGTGACGCTTTCTCGACCTGATCAGAGCGTCTCTGCTTGGGGTGCCATTCGCACCACGGCCGAGGGGAGTAGGTGCGTGCATGTACGACGCGAAAACGAATATTGGTGTTTGTGCGTGCTGGCAGTGGGCAAGTGTCCTCTCCTGCTAACTGCATGCTGTTCCTGCAGTAACTGCAGTGGTGTGTGGTCGAACACGAATTCCTCAGCGAGTGAGCTGTGTAGCTGAGTTTTGTGTGCTCCTTTACCCATGACCACTAACACTAGTGACAACTACAAATCTACTTCAGCTTTGCCGTGCGCTCCAGGAGCTGGCAAGTAAATTAACTTGTAGTGTTTTCTGGCTTGTTTCTCTGTCTTGTGCCCCGCTGCAGCGGACACGTGTGCGGAGGTTGTTCGGGCTTCTCAGTCTTTATCTCCAGCACTTGCGTGAAGCGGTGGGTGTTTGTGTGTGTTTGCTAGTGCGTGGAGCGCACCACAACTATAATTATTATGTTCGATCGTTTCATAACTTCGCTTTGAACTCTGAATATCCAGCCTCTTTATCAGGAGACCGGATCTGAGTAGAGCTTGACGTAAAAACAAAAACAGGATCAGCGCTCGCCGTTCTTGTGAAAATGTCGCAGGCTTGCTTTTGATTCGAGCAGCGTTCCTTTCTCATCTTACTCATTGGTGACGTAAATACGTGGCAAGGCTAAATAAGCTACTACTACTAGGGGGTATAACTCGTTAGCGCTCAGTCCATGCATGGTGCAAGAATCTCATTGATATGACTCGCAGTGTCAAGGGCTGTCTAGCTGTGTGGAAATGATTTTTTCTTGTACAGTCGAACCTCGTTAGGACAAACTTCAAGGGACTTGAAGTTTGTTTGTCTTATCCGGAGTTCTTCTTATCCAGATCTGACAAAAAAATTGATATGCATATGATAATAATAATATCCGCGGGATCCGCGTCTGCATCGCTTGAATATTCAGGAACACACAAACTAGCCTTCGGCTTCGCATCCGCAGGCCACGCATATCATAATTGTATCAAGAGTAGATAAACAAGAGACAAGAGTGTGCAACTCGCGGATGGGTAGGCCCATGGTGGAATTTTTGTTGACGTAATTTTTTCGACGACGCACGCGCTGCGAGTCTTTCGGAAAGTTTTCCCTCATGCTCTTGGCCGGGTTTTACACTACAAGGTCGGTGCCCAGCACTTGCTCTCACACTGCTCTGCGGCAAAATGCGCGTTTCTCTCAAAAAATGTGACGTCAACAAAAAATTCTGCCGTGGGCGGGGTTATCTGCAGATTGTGCAGGAGAGATCCGGAGTTGCACACTCTTGTTTATCTACTCTTCATTGCATTTATGCGAGGGTGCATGCTGTGGCAAATGTAAAACATTTTTTTCATAACATAATCCAATAAATTCATGACAGCATGTCCTTCACCTTGTAATATGGTTTGCCAGTTCAAGAGGCCTTGACTATCGGAAAAAAACTACATCCAGTGTACCCACCGGGACCGAAAGTTCGTACTACGCGCTGATTTTGTTCAAATCACGCGTGACATTAGTTCGTCGTAAACGAATAATTTTGACTTCATATGATGCCTGGCCAACCATAGGATTGGCCCTAGTTCGTACTAAAGGAAAGTTCGCCTTGTCAGTGTTCGTCCTAACGAGGTTTAACTGTACACGTGGACGCCTCTTATCCGGGCACCTTGGGACCGGGCACTGCCCGTATCTCAGATTTGCCCGTATCTCAGGATAACTCCTTCACCATGTATCATAGCATTTTTTTAAGAAGTTTATTTGGCACGTATTGCACATGTTCAGGTTACAAAAAGATTCCATTGATAAAAATGTGTGGACTACACAGGTTGGCAGTGACAAATAAGCACTTGCGCATACGAAAATAGTTCAACCCCCCCCCCCCCTCCCCAAATTCGAAGCATTTTTGCCATCGGAACTTAAGCTGAACGTGCCCAGTAGAGAGACATGCCCGGGCCGTATCTGAGGCGTCCTGATAAGAGAGGTTTGAGTGTGCATGTAAATGTACGCCGCTGTTGACCAATTATTATTATGGCGGCGTGTGAAGAGTGAGGGCATAATACTTGTCAGGGACTTCTTGTGTCGACCCCCCCCCCCCCCCCCCCCTACTCTGATGTGGCCATAAATCGATGGTTCCGGGTGCACGCACATTTCGGTCATTTTGTGTGACAAGGGGCTGTACACCACCCTCCACCAGTGAACAGCCCGGTGTTGGCGGGTCCCAGGAGGGGTGGAGGGGGCATGTCCAGTAACCTCCACCAGTGCATTGCCCAGTGTTCAGAGGTTCTGGGGGAGGGGGGTTGCACAATACCCTCCAATAGTGCACAGCCCAGTGTTCGCAAGTCCGGGACTGTAAGTTTCGGCACCCTGCCTCCCTTTCTAATGACCCTCGGTTACTTTCTTTCTTTTCGACCCTCTTTGAAGTTGTACATTGTACTGTTGAGGCAACGAGCACAACCCAGTGTTTGCAGTTCTGTGGCAGTATAGCATCCTTCTCCAGTGCACAACCCAGTGTTTGCAGTTCTGTGACAGTACAGTATCCTTCTCCAGTGCACAACCCAGTGTTTGCAGTTCTGTGACAGTATAGCATCCTTCTCCAGTGCACAACCCAGTGTTTGCAGTTCTGTGGCAGTATAGCATCCTTCTCCAGTGCACAACCCAGTGTTTGCAGTTCTGTGGCAGTATAGCATCCTTCTCCAGTGCACAACCCAGTGTTTGCAGTTCTGTGACAGTACAGTATCCTTCTCCAGTGCACAACCCAGTGTTCGCTAGTATGGGTTTGTGTAGCATTCTCCTCCAGTGCACAACCCAGTGTTCGCGAGTACGGGGCTGTATAGCATTCTCCTCCAGTGCACAACCCAGTTTTCGCTAGCACGGGGTTGTATAGCATCCTTCTCCAGTGCACAACCCAGTGTTCGCAAGTACAGGGTTGCTATAACGCTCATAAATCGCTGAGCAGCACCGTGTGGTGCCAGTGTGCATGGGATGTGGTATTGACCAGCTCAATGGTTTACTTGTCACCAACCATCCATGCTGCCACTCAGTGTGCCCACCAATGAATTGCAGTAAGGCCTGTATTTAGCAAGCACAGCCATACATGAGACTAGGGACGTGTACCTCATCTCCTAGGTGAGTTACATGTCCTGACTATTGTATACGTACAAATTTTTGTTTGGAATTAACTTTCGCTAAATTCGTTAGGGGGCACGAAATAACTAAAGTTTGTACCAAACTAAAATTTTCCTTCTGAACGTTCGGGGTGACAGAGCTCGACCAAAAACGAAATTTAGTACGTAACAAGCCTGCTGGTGGAGTGATCTAACGAAAGATTTCGTGAACGAAAATTTGCACTTACCGTAATATCTCTAATATAAGCACGGTCCTTTATTATTTCAATGTACCTTCGCCCCGTGCTATTAATGGAGACGTTCCTTTATTGGAGACTGTTCCATTATTATTTCAACCTCATTTCAGAAGCATGTTGCCATGCCAAATTCATGTATGACACACACACATTTCAGGGTTTTTTTCGCCGGTACAGATAATGAATTTACACAGTGTGCTTATAATGGAGACTAAGCACTTTATTTTTTGAATGCCGTCCCAAGGTGTTCTATTATTGGAGACGTGCTATTATTGGAGACTGTGCTTATATTAGAGATAATACGGTATACAGTACTGGACAAAAGTTAATATAGGGGTTTAGCACTCCTGCTTGCCGGCTTAGTCCATCATCATGTTCAAGAGCAATGCCAATGCCTCTGGACCGCTTGACGCAGTGCTGGGTCTTCTGTGCTGCCGTGCACCTGTTGCCGATTTACAGGATCAACAACCATGGGCTGTGTATCGGGCTCACAGAAGTCTGGCGGTAGTGGTGCTGACGGAGCTGTAGGAGACAATGGTATGCCGGTGCAGAGCCAGAAGAGATTCCCGGTGAGGAATCTGGACGACCAGAACTCCGTCGTCGGCGAAGGAGAAATCGAGGTAACGGCCACCGACCTGATCCTGCACTCGTCCGGAGCAGCGCCAGTGAGATGGCCTCTCAGATATCTCAGAAGGTACGGCTTTGACGAATGTCTTTTCTCGTTCGAGTCCGGCCGAAGGTGTCCTACTGGCGAAGGTAAGCAAGCTCGCTCTGTAACCGTATTGTCTCTACTCTGTGGCAAAGATGGTTGTGGTGCTGTAAAGCAACTCGCTCTAATATCGTCTTGTCTCTACATGGCAAGGGTGGTTGTGGTACAATGTAGTGCGGTTGACTGCTTCTGCAACCCAATAACTTTCCGAACATTCAGAATCCTACTACTTGTACTCAATGTGTTCAAGGACCAGTAGAGTAACAAAGAATTGGAGAGAACAGGTTTTAAAAACTTAAGAAGGAGAGGAATGCTGTGGAACTTCCCATCATTTGACTTTCCAGGCTCAAACTTGGTGAGGCAGAATTACATGGGTCACACAATGCAGAATGTGCAGTAACACAGTGTGAGCGGACAAGGTAGAAATGGAACGTTAGCTGCATGACATCATTTTGAGATACAGGCGTTTAAAGTTTGGCAAACTGTGGCATATTTTTTACCTGGGTTAGAGGGCTCTATTTGCATCAAGCGCTTGTGCCTCGCTCAGCACAGGGCTTCAAGGTCCAGCACTCAAAATTTGAAGTGAATCCGTTATGGCTGAAGGAAGACATGGCAGCTAGTTGTGCGACGGGTGGCGTATTGACGGGCGAATTTGGAGGTGACGGCGATCAGCTGATAGCCTGCTGTCAGGTGCTGAGAGCTTCTTTGATTCTGAGAACGTTTCTGAGTCAGGTAGTAGTCGAGAGCGTCTTCCACGACGCCGAAAACGACGTGCCGATCAGCGTTTTGTTTGCTGCTGGCTTCAGCGCGGTACAAAAAGACATAGGGAACAAATGAGATGGATCTTTCGGATGCAGGCGAACGTGGTGACAGCAGTGATGATGATAACACCAATGAAGGGGAACGTTCCTGTGGATGCTGAGTTGTACTGAATGTATACGCCGAACCGACTTCAGAGCTCTGAAGCACACAGCGCAGGAGCTGAAGAAACAATAGCGTCGTGCACCACAGGGGAACGTATACAGGGACTTAATAGCCCAGAACAACTAGCTAGCTGTTGCCCAATACATTGGATGGAAGTGGCAGACCTGCATCGTGCACTGTCTGGAAATGAGTGTTTTAAGAATTGAGATACACAGAATGGTCCAGGCTGGTGAACATGAGCTGAGTGGAAAGAAG